CCAACTTCAATGATTTCTGAGCTTGTTCACGATCAACATTCCGTAGGCTATCACCGAGAACTAAACATTACGCAGGGCCGGACTAGCGGTGCATTCCACTGTGGCGGGTGTTGCGAGTTTTAGCTCAGGCAATGAAAGCATACGTTATCGCCAAAGAAAAAATATAAAAAACAAAAACAAAACACGTCATTAAATTGGCCACAATACATGTGTTTTAGAGGACCTTACACGCATACGTACAGTCAGAAGTACAGTTCAAAAGTTTATACTGGGATTCAGGCCGAACACTACGTGTGTTTCCACGCGAATGTATTCACAGGCGATCAACAACACAGTGTTTTACATAGTATACAACGTTGGCAAATTCCTAATAAAAAAATCTTTGAAGTGGAGCATAAAAGAAGAGAAATTTTATTGTTTGCCCTGTCCACTAGTATTTTGTCAATATGCTCAAACCCCATAGTCCTATTTGTATAGTCGTGGCCAATTCTTATGTTAATCTATATTAAGGAGGCACCACGTATATACATTGCCCGAGAATAGGTACGACGCGACCACGTTTCATAAGACCACGTTAATAAGCACCTGCCAACTCCACCCGTTGTATAACTATAAAATTAGCCACGTGTATTTTTGATTTGTTTGTTTTCATATTTATTGTATAGTTCAGTTATGTAATAATTTGTGGATTTGTGCGAGAACACACACGCAATCATGGTGTCACTGTCTGATGTACGTCTCAGTTAACAACAAAAATATTAATTGTCACCTACCTCCATAATCCTGTTTTTTATTTGTGACGTCATAGTATTCATCCGGAGGCGGGAGACCTTTCTCCTTCCACTCCGGGACGACTCGAACTCGTCTCCTCTTGTTCGGGTTGCTTCGGTATTCCTTCTGTTTTCCCATCTCTTTCTCTTGTTGTTGTGCAATGGCGAAAATCGGACCAGGTTTTAACCACGTACTAGAAGCACTTTAAAAATCTCTAAGCTGATAGGCGAGCCGTCGATGGCAGGAAATGACAACTAGGTCGGACTATTTGTGATCGCCGCGTGATATGTCTGTTTGTTGTCGTTCGCGAATAACGGATGTGCAATCAAAGGCTTGGCTGCCAGTTGCACAGTCGCAAAATATAGAACTCGATTAAACGCACCGATGTCAAATGCCAGATATGAGCGATAAAATAAGTCCTGATGCCAGTGTAGTGCTGGGCGACCTTACCGAGCAATCATTCACACAGTGTTGGGTACAGCGAGGAATAGCGGCAGTAATAGGTATTTCTAACAATAGTGCTAATGAAAAGAACGGGATTATCTTCACTCAGGTGATCGTGTAGATAATCCGTTTACGCCCGACGACCGTCCACTACAGGCACCTATGTACCCTCCCACTGTGCGGGCGTCAGGTGGGTCGTTACGCTCCACCGCTACCTTTCGATTCGCTTCAGGCCGTTTCGTGTGTGCGATCGTTCGTATACAGCACTGACGATTACAAGTCTGGGAATGGCACGCACACAAGACGAACTGCCGTTAAAATGCTGAAGTTCCGGATGCAGTAATTAAATATTAACTAAAGCAATTCC